ATTTCTAAACCACCCGTCCGATAGCTTTTGAAATTATTCCAGTGACAGCTCATTATATTGTTTACAAGCGTACAAAAGCATTTTGTTGAGAATTTTCCAGAAAAAAAGTTATTCGTGATGGAATTCAAGCGTGATAGTGTTATTTCTTTATATTTGGCTGAAAAACCACAAGTGGCTATGGTTAGAGCACTGCAGCATTTAAATGTGAATAAATCTTTTGTGTCTCGTACCATCGCTCGTTACCGTGATACTGGTACTGATCGCTCGTTACCTACGTCAAGGAAGTGGACGGAAGCAAACAACAACATTAGCAGAAATGGTTTGAAAAGTAAAGAAGCTACTTGATCGAAACCCCCATTACAGTGGCCGAAAAAAGGCTCATATATATTCTATTCGGCAAATATTGAAAAACTGAGCTCGGGGTAAAGTCATTGAAATTCCAAAAAGTACAAGAACTTACACCGCAACAGAAATAAAATAGACTCAAAAGAGCTAAAGAGTTGTTTCGCTTGGCAGAAAGTGGTGAACTGACGAATTTGGTTTTCTCCGATGAGAAAACATTGTTGTCCAGCAGTTTGTAAACTAACAAAATGATCACGTTTACTTTCCAAAGAGGTCAGCTGAAAATGTGCACCTTCGGTTGGCCACCAGAACTCAAGCGCCGGCCATGGTGATGGTATAGGCCGCCATAAGAGCCGATGGTCGCTCTCCTCTTGTATTAATCGATCGTGGCATGAGAATATTATCGCGAAAATATTCTGGAGAGTGTATTAAAGACTTGAGCACGCAAACATTTTGGCCGCAGACCTCTGACATTTCAACAGGACTCAGCACCATCGCACTCAGCACGCGCCACCCAAGAATGGTTACAAAATGAGGTTCCTCGCTTCATGTCCAGCGCACAATGGCCACCAAAACCTTCGGTTTCAAATCCGTGTCTGGAGTGTTTTGGAATGCAAGGTTGGCACTAAAAAATACCAAAGTGTCGATCACCTCAAGCAAACGCTTCGCCGGGAATGTGCCAAAATACCGCAGAGCAATATTCGGGCAGCGTGTGACGGTTTCAGAGGTACCAATGCGAACAATTCTAAACTTATTTTAAAATGTAATGCTATTTCCGACATTTTTTTGCTTTCTTTCAATAAAATTAAAAAAAAATGTAAAAATTATGGTGTTTGACTTTGTTGCAGTTTTTTTATCTCACCCGCTAAAGCCAATTTTTTGCTTAGAGGGTTTCCACTAATTAAAGACTCAAAATTCAAAAATTTGCCAAAATTCGTTAGGAAGTATGGCGTATATGTAAAAAAATACTTGAAGTAGGAATATACTCTTATATGGAGGCAAAAAGTGACCGATGTGACCCATATTTTCGAACAATGATTTTTAAGATAATTAAGACTTGGGCCTTTGCGATGGAAACTTTCAAAACCACGACATATGTGACATCTTCCACAATCTACTAAATTTTTCTTGTAGTTATCTTTTGTTAATTATTGTTATCGAATAACATTAATTAATAATTCGAATTAATCAAAATAATAATTGAGGTTTGCCTACGACCTTTAAAAATAAAACAAGCTAAACATAACTTGAATGTGCTACCTTTAGCTGGACTCAACTGTTTGTAGTTAAATAGATCTAGTGTTATGTTATGTAAATTTCGTTTTTCCGAGGGGTCGGTGTTGGGTGGGCGGTGGATTGGTTTCGTTGTTTTTTTTTCTTTTTAGTGAAGTTGTCTTTTTGGACAACTTGTAGTTTTGCGTGTTGTTCGTGCTGCACACATTTCTCTGGCTCTTTCGCCAGCAGTTCCAAATAAGGGCAATTGGACATTAAATTGTATGTTTCTGTGTTTTTTTTTTTCGATTTCTGTTGGCATTTTGTGTGTCAATTTTATGTGCTCCTATTTTAACAAGACCTTATTTATGTATGTACATGCTATAGCTCCGTGGCTCAAGGTTATAAAGAAAATGAAATTTGTGGTACTACCATTGTTGTTGTTTTTTTTTTGTTTTTTTTTTTTTTTTTTTTTAAATGAAATAAAGTCATTTGAGTCTTGGCTTTTGGGAATTTTATTGCATTTTGGTTTTTGAATGCGGTTTGTAAATTCGGTTGCATTTAAAAATAGATTTGTTGGTTTCAATGCGACAGTGGTGGTGGTGTTGTTTGCAATTAAAATTTTGGTTTTATCGTTTGTTGTTCGGTAATAATTTTCTTTAGCGCAATAGAAAACCGCATGCAGAAATAATAATAGAGTCATGTCGGGGTACATTTGGTAATACGGTATTATGTGGTGGGCTGCCTTTTGTGGGTGGCTGCATGATATTGTGGGATATACAAATAGGGGAATGCATCTGTCTTTAGATGTAAAACAAATGTCAAAAACCACAGGATTATAAAAAATGAGTAATATGTCTCATTTGGAGATTGTCTAAAAATAATGGCGGTGACATGCATAGGAACTATACAGCGTGAGATGAAAAAATTGCAACAAAACTTCAGACTGGTGTCTTTCTAAGCCACTTCTCCGAAAGCTGTTAAAATTATTCAATGTAGTTTACAAGCGTACAAAAGCATTTTGGTGAGAATTTTCCAGAAAAAAAGTTATTTGTGATGGAATTCAAGCGTGATAGTGAGATTTATTCGTAATTGCTTGGAAAACCTTTTGTGTCTCGTACCATCGCTCGTTATCGTGATACCGGTAGCGTATCCCGGCGTCAAAGAAGTAAATGTACGGAAGAAAACAGCAATGTCAGCAGAAATGGTTCGATAGGTAAAAAAGCGAATTCATCGAAACCCGTGTCGCAGTGGCCGAAAAATGGCTCGTGAGCTGAACATATCGTAATATTTCATTCGGCAAATATTGAAAAATGAGCTCGGGGTAAAACCATTGAAATTACAAAAACTGCATGAACTTACATCGCAACAAAAAGAAAATAGGCTTAGAAGAACTAAAGAGTTGCTTCGCTTGACCGAAAGTGGTGAACTGCCGAATTTGGTTTTCTCTGATGAGAAAACATTCGTTTCCAGCAGTTTGTGAACAAACAAAATGTTTACTTGCCAAAGAGGTCAGCTGAAATTGGGCACCAGAACTCAAGGGCCGGCCATGGTGATGGTGTGGTCCGATGGTTGCTATTAATCGATCGTGGCATCAGAATAAATGCCAAGTATTACCGCGAAAAAATTTCTGGAGGGCGAAAAATTTTTTGGAGTGTCATGGTGATGGTGTGGGTCGCTCTCCGCTCATATTAATCTACCGTGGCATCAGAATAAATGCCAAATATCATTTCGAAAAATTTTCTGGAGGGTCTATTAAAGCCTTGGGCACGCAAACAATTTGGCCGCATTCCTTGGACATTTCAACAGGACGCAGCACCATCGCACTCAACAGGCGCCACCCAAGAATTGTTAAAAAATGTTCATTTCCAGCGCACAATGGTCACCAATGGCGATAAAAGTGACCAATTTGAAAAAATCTAAACTTATTCTAAAATTTGATTCTATTTCCCACATTTTTTCTTTCTTGGAAGACGGACTCGAACATTTGACCCGAAAGTCCGGATCCAAAAGAGATAATAACACATATTGTAGCACTTTTGAAAAAGTTATAGTGTCGGCTATAATTTGGCACAAATTTTGTGGACTCCCGAAATGGGGCATTTTTTTGACATTTGGTGGGATTCGGTAAAAAATCCAGTTCAAAAAAAAAATAATAATAATAATAATAATATGCTGGACAGGTATTTTTATTAGCTTTTAAATGACACCTATATCGTCCATATCGGATTAATAGGTTCGGGTCTTGAACTGGACTTTTGGGTCAATTATCGGGCTATCCGGGTCCGTCAAAAAAAAAAATACTTTACATCTGAAAAAAAATATTTCAAAAAAAAAAAAAAGGCGAGAATTTCTTCTAAAGAAGATTTGTTCCTTTTCCTGTTATAATTTTTACGCTACAAGTGTAAATAAGAGAGCAATGGAATTTCACGCTGATTTGTCATCGGCCTTGACAGATAAGTTAGGTACAGATATTGATTTTTATCAAAATTGTCAAGGCGCAACTCAATTGTGATTAACTCCCTATTAAAGTAATTATTAGTTTCGATTAAAACCTAAATAAAACATTTGTTTCTATTACTTAGTTTTATCACAATTAATCCAAAAATAAGAACTATTTCACAAACCTCAAAAGAAAGTGGTTTTTGGGGCTTTCATTTTATTTCGAGATTGGTATTTATGACATAATTCTCAGTTTAATACTCTCAGCAAACAACAAATACCAAACCACTTTGTAAATGAAAACAACAACGACAACAATGAATACGTTATAATTACACTACTGATAAGCCCCAACTCAGTCACAGTATGAGTCTCTTTCAGTGAGAGTGAGATGTATTGACAACAGTGAAAAAAATAGAACAAAAACAAAAGTTAAATGGCACACCACCAGCAAAAAAGAAAATATGAATCATTGAAAGACCTTTTTATACGGAAGGAAGTCCAAAGATTTAAAGAAATTCTTACGCAAATTTTGAAACATTGCAGGAAAACGAAACTGAAATGCAAAAACAAATTTACATTTTCAAGTTTCATGGAGAATTACGGTATACGATTGTGAGAAAGAGAACAAGAGAGTGCAAAATACTCTGCGACACCATCATTATTAAGAATTGCAACAGCAAAAAAAAAAAAACAACACGTCACATAAGAAATGAAAAACAACAACAAACACTCACATTGCACCTCTCACATGCAGACATTTAATCAAATGAAGAAAAATGTGTGTGTTGATGGCGATGAATGTGACAAGCAATGATAATAATGACGACAACACGAATGACAATAATGATGATGAGTTGTACATGGCAAAGATGCAGCAACAACAACAACACACTGACTAAATCTCCCCACAAGAAAGTCCAAAGTATGCAAGCCCGATGAGGACATGAAAAATTTTTGTAATCATCACCATTAAATAATGTAAAAAAGCTGGCGTCTCTCACCTTCACATTGGATTCCAGACCTCCTCTTCTTCCTCCTTAGTTTTTGTCAAGCTTTAACGTTGACGCAGAGCAAATGGTTATTTATTTTTGTCTTATTAAGCCATTCGACAACAAATTGTAATTTTCACTTTTTTCTGGTAATTTTGGCAGATGTTTTTCTTTAATGAATTGTGGTTTTACGGTTTAATCCAACACTTAATCTGGGAACTATTTTTACACACCAACGAAAAAATTCAACAGACTTCAATTTTGGCAAGCACCAACAAACTTCGCACACACACACACTCCCAGTCACTCACACTCTTGCTGCCACCCCAAAAACCAACAACAACAATAACAAGTTGTGGCAAAAACACACAAATTTCACTTCATTACAACAAATGTTTTGTTTATTTCTTTTTTTCTTACTTCGTGTAAATTGTCCAATTAGAAGAAATTAAATGAAACGAAAGTTCATTGACAGTCAAACGGTTAGAGTTAAGTTTTCTTATTTCATAATTTGAATGTCTTTCTTTTTTCACAAAATTATTGTTACGTTTGTATCGAAAATTTAATCAAAATAAATAATCAACACAAGAAAACAAGAATTGCCGACTGAAAGCGTCGAGATTCGCGCACCACCAAACTTTTCTGTGTTGGAAATGAAAATGAACTGGCTGTCAAATCAACACAGCACAGAGAGTTGAGAGAGAATTGCCAGCAAAATACAAGTACAGCGTTGCCAACCTATCTGTTTTGTGACAAAACGGAAAAGAAACACAGGCAGTGATGCCAACCAACGATATTGGCAGCATACATTTCTATTGGGGTGGGTAATAATTTTTTTTATATAAAAAATAAAAAAAAAATGAGTACGGAAAAGGAAATTATATGGAAATTGAAATACGATATTAGATACATCAAAGGTATAAAGCAATAAAGATGGACCAAAATGCATATTGCCGTTAAACTTTCCAATATGGAGTCCAACATATATTTCAAAGCAATTCATTGAATTTTGAATCGATATCAACCCTATAAAAATGTCAATTCTGCTTGAGTATAACCATGGTACTATTAGGAGGTAGAACAGCTTCGTAAAACTACAGAAATACAGCCCTGAGGCTATGCCCGCTTCCTGTCAGACTAATTAAAAATTATATACAACCAGTTGTTTTCATTTCCCTCATTTTTGAAACGAGTTAAATAGCGCGAAAAATATGAAATGCTTGGATTTTCTCTCAAAAATGTGATCCAAACTGTTGAATCTTTCAATTTTATGGCTAAACTGGTATAACCATATACTCATGGTACAATAAACAGCTTAGATCATTGACATTGACCGCGGCTGCACCTCAAATAGTCTCTCCGCTTAGTCTACTTTTGGTACACTTTTGCTAACATTTCGGTCGGTATCTCATGAATGTTAAATGTTGTCCAAAGTGTCAACTGTATGCCTAAAGGCATTAAATTGCGCGATCTAGGCGCCTAGAGACTAGTTGAAATCACATGTCATGCCAGTCAAGCTCTTGCATTTTGGGCATCCACATTTATTTTAAGATTAAGAATCAAACCGTGACTTTTCTAAATGTATTGCAATGCTTCTTGCCGATCTTGCCTCCAAAACCTGAAATTCTGCTTATTTGCGTACCCATTGAGCCAAAAAGAGCGCGGTGAATTTTATAAACATAGCAAGAGCTTTTCGTTTGTAAGCCGGTTCATAGTTGAATTATAGACCAAACTAAAGATGTTTGACCGTGAAACAGAACACGCAACGTGCATGAGCTGTTTAAACGAGTGACGGAAAAAGTAGTAGCTAAAAAATCATCAGAACTTTTGATTAAAAATAAAAAATCTTTCCAAAAAAAGAAATTTTTGAATTAGTCAAGCTAAATCTATTATCATGATTACCTAGCGCCTTATCTTGATTTACTTGACAACGAGTTTTTTCAGCTAAAGTTCACACATTAGATTGAGTGACGTTTTTTAGGGCAGACAACTTTGTATCTCAGAACTCGATATTGTGAAAAATCTGTGACGTTCAATATTTTTTTCAAAAATTAAAATATTATGAAAAAAGTGAAATTAATTTTAAGTTACAAGACTCTAGCATACTTGCATTCTTTCATATTAAAACAATCTGCCCCACCTCGTAATTATTGTACTATGGTTCTTGGCTGTTACATTCATTTTTTCACATAGTTGTTTCTTGTCAGAAACCTTTTTAGTTTTTGGGAAAATATGGAAAGTTTTCCTCATTTTTATCATACCTGCATTTCCTGTGCATTCCTTTATTATTTTGGTAACGAAAAAAAATACAGCGCAATTTATGACATGGAATGCCAATAAAAAGATTCCGAAACATACCTTTTTTGTATATGTTGAGATGCAGCATATTTCTTATCGAGATCGTATTTTTTTAATTACCACATTGTTGTAAGGAGACATTCGTTAAAATATACCATGAATGTATTTCCAACTTGGTACAGATATTTCACATCGCAATATTTCAATAGAACTTTAAATATCCTTCGAAGAAAGAACGTTAAGGCCAATTTATTTTGGTTTCTTTCAAATGTTATTTCATATAAATTAAGTTATTAAATGTCGAGAGAATATAAATGGCAAAGATTATTTTTAAAAATTAAATTAAATTTAACTTTTTTTAACATATTGGAAACCAATCTCGTTCTTTGTTTTCAAAATTGTGTGGGGCAGTATAAGTATTCCTTTAAAATTAAATTAAACAATGAAGAAAAATCCAAAGAATTCATTAACTAGGCTTATAAAGAACCTGTGGATTTAAATAAAAAAGAATTTATTCAATAACAAACTTTGGTATTTTTTTTAATTTTCTTAGAATTTATATCTGTTTTATTTTTGTGCATTTTTCATTAATTTCGATTTTTTTATAAAAGATATATAGGATATTCTATACTTTTCAATTAAAATATATGCTCATACTATTATTTTGTGATCCACTGTATTCTGTGCTTAGTAACGCCATCTACGGTGTGTTATTATTAATACTGTTTATCTCCAATGCCTTTGGTTAATGTCTATAGTTGCTTTGATTCAATTGGCAACACTCTGCTCACAATGTATATCATAGCTAAGCACTGTGAAAATTACAGATGTGAAGGGGTAAAGCAAAGACAAATATCTCACCACAGTAAGTAATATGTGGTTGGTGTCCGTACTATGGAAGGCAGCAGGGAGTTGCCAATCAAAAATACAAAATGTGACGTTACCAAACAACCATTTTGAATTTAAACGTTACCAGAGAATTTTTAGCTATTTCTGGAACGGTGGATGAATGATAACTGATCAAATTTGTTTTGGAAAATAAATATAAACCAATTAAAAATGAAATTTCAATATAATTGATGGATTTTCCTACTTTTCAAGCCTTTGCCCGCATTTTTCTCCCACTTTATTAATGACATCATTACCGCTTAATGTATAACGCAATTTCCATCTTCCGTCTTTGTTATCTCCCTCATTTTATCCCTTTTTTTTGTTTCGCCTGAAAACATTTGCCACATATTTTCTTTCGTGTCATTATCTTTTATGTGCATAATTTTTGTTGTTGTTGCTTCTGCCTCTCTTCATAGTGTGTAAGTGTGTCGCATCGCAATTTATTACTCATTCAACCTACAAAGCAGTTTACAGTTTCTCTGCTGGTCGACCGGCAACAATGTTGTAACAAAGTAAATTTTGATTACTGATTTAAATCGGTGGTCCTCCCCATACTCGGCTATAATCAAGTGAATGCCTGGCTCTCTATTGTGTCCAAGTGAATCTTAAAGTGATTTTCTGTAGCTGCGGATGAATGACAGCGCAAAAGACCCGCAAACTGCCTTGCAGCACACAGACACACACGCAACATAGACAACGAACGGGTCCCAGCATGCAAGGCCGTTGTAAAGACTAACTGTAACTTTAGCCATAACGATCGGGAGGATGATGATGATGACGACGATGACCATGCGTTTCGGTGTTCTCCGTTGTTCTTGTTGCATGCATTTTTCCTATGGTCATGTGGCCACTAAACTGACCAACCAACCAAGCCATGCAGAACTAGTCCCAAAACAAGAACATAACCAGAAGACCAGATGAAGAAGAAAACCAGAATACCAGATAAAAATATAAATAACATATTTTAGAACAAAAACAACAAAATTGCCAGAGCTAGTTGCAACTGAGAATAGGATAAACAACAACAACAACTGCAACAAAATGCCAAGCATATGAAATTCACACAAACTCAAGCACGAGCCGCCTAAGGCGATGACGACAGCTTTTATTATTATTTGTACGACGAAAAAAAAAATCCTGTAAGGCCATTCAATGGGACCAGAGCCCAGTGGGAAAAGAGGGGGGGGGGGGGGAAGAGAACCATGTCTAGAATGGCCTTACTAAACAAGTTGGAGTATGCCCATATTTTTATGGAAGTAGGAAAAAAACGCGTATAACAGGCACACTAAGAATGTTGTCCAGAATTTCTAGCTGTACCATGCCACCAGTACCAACTGGCTGGACAACATCGTAACCGAGAAACTGAAAATGGGAATATTTTCCAAAGAACTCAAGAACAAATAACGACAGCGATAGTAAGGCGAACTACAACTGCCAGCCATTAATGGAAGGTTGCGACTTGCGGCTGACGCTTCTGCAACATGCAATATTAGTTTAAAGGGAGAATGGCTTTCAACGAGGGACTAACAATTAAATTGATAAAAAGAAGACATTTTAAAAACTTAACATAACTGGATGATTAGTAGTAGACATTATATGGAACGGAGCATATTCTAGGTATAAAAGACCGCTGGGAGGTTTCATAGGTAAAAAGAAGACTCCTATGGGACCTCCGCTAGCAGGTGTGTATTCTAGGTACAGAAATTCGCTAAGGGATATTCTTCTAGGCATAGAAATAGCTAGGGGGTCTTATATGCATAGGCGAGTGCTAGGGGGTCTTCTATGATTATTAGACCGCTAGAGTGTCTTCTATGTATAGAAGACCTACAGGTGGTCTTCTGCGTATAGAAGACCTGCAGGTGGTCTTCTACGTATAGAAGACCTGCAGGTGGTCTTCTACGTATAGAAGACCTGCAGGTGGTCTTCTACGTATAGAAGACCTGCACGTGGTCTTCTATGTATAGAAGACCTGCACGTGGTCTTCTATGTATAGAAGACCTGCACGTGGTCTTCAACGTATAGAAGACCTGCACGTGGTCTTCTACGTATAGAAGACCTGCACGTGGTCTTCTATGTATAGAAGCCAGTCTCTTATTATCATAGAAGACCCCCTAGCGGTCGCTTATTTATAGAAGACCCCTTGCAGATCTTTTGTCAGTAAAAGACCTTCAGCAGGTCTTTTGTCAATAAAAGACATTGAGCAGGTTTTTTGCCAATAGCGGACATTCACCAGGTCTTTTGTCTATAGAAGACCTGCGGAAGGCCTTCTGTTTACAGAAGAGCTTCAGCAGGTCTTTTGTCAATAGAGGAACTTCAGCAGGTCTTCTGTCTATAGAAGTCAGTAAAATACCTTCAGGAGATCTTCTGTCTATAGAAGACCTGCAGGAGGAATTTTTCCTATAGAAGACCTGCAGGAGGTCTTCTGTCTATAGAAGTCCTTCGAAAGATCTTCTTTCTATAGAAGACCTTCAGC